AACGCAGACGTCTAAAAATGACCTCTTCTTTGTTGAAACAAGAAAAGACTATTTGTCTTTGGTTTTGTGCTTGCACAATCCCCAATGGCTATTCAATTCAAATTCAAATCTCTCTCGAAATGGTTTCAATTGTGGAACTTTATAAAACGTTTCACTGTCTCATTTTTTCAGGTCAAACCTAACTTTGAGGTACCCACCACCATTGTCAACAGGGTCATATATTCAAAATCCATAAAGACGTAACCTTTACTTGAAAAATAAAACCAAACCAAACATTACTCATTTCCCCTTGAAAGCAACCCACAAGGAGAAACATGTCTGGTTCGAGAAAAGAGACTGGTGAGAATAAGGAAAACGTGGACACATCCTCAGGTTCTGTTTCCGTTAAGAAAGGGGAAGATAAGGAGAATGTCTCGCCGGAAAACAGCTCTACTACCTCTGTGGAAACTCGGAGACAAGAACGAGCTTTGACGTCTCAATCGATGAAGGGCAATTCTGGGTTTCCCAAGGAAGTTACAAATTTCAGATCTTTCTCAACTGGTGGTCGAACGGCTTTGAAGCAGTCATCGCTGCAAGTGTGTATGCAGATGAACAGTGGAGACGATAAGAATAGCATCGGAACGAAAACTTGGACTAGTGTTGATTCAGAGCATTCAAGTTCGTTGAAAGTCTGGGAGTTTTCCGATTCCGAAGCTGCCCCTGCTTCCTCTTGGTCTACTTTGCCCAATAGGTAAAGAACACTCAATAACCAAAATTCTTGTCCTAAACATGTCTCTGAAACAGACTATAACACTTGTTAAACAGGGCATTGTTGTGTAAGATACTACCTTTGGATGTGGGTAGATGCACTTGTCTGATTGTAAAAGAACAATCACCGGAGGGCTTGCGCGACGGATCTGTTTATTCACTTTATACACATGTAAGTATACAAACATCTGATCTAATGTGATGTTGTTACAGAATTGAGATACAGTGATGTCACAGTTTCTGATAGCTTACAAGTATTGGATTATATATTTCAGGAAGGTCGAGGGAGAAAAGACCGGAAGCTAGCAGTGGCTTACCATAGACGGCGTAACGGGAAGTCTGTCTTTAGGGTGGCACAGAATGTCAAGGGATTATTGTGTAGTTCGGATGAAAGTTATGTCGGTTCTATGACCGCTAATCTCATGGGTTCCAAGTACTACATATGGGATAAGGTTCTTGTTCATCCTATTATCACTCAGTCTCAGTACGGTTTTATCACTCAAGCTGAATGTTTCTGGTCTTTTGATTCCATTGCAGGAAGTTCGAGATGGTTCTGTAGGTAAATTGGTGAAGCCGCTTCTTTCGGTTGTAATGTAAGCTTTGAGGATTTTGAATGTTTTGTGTCTTTCGACAAATTTGACTCTCCCTTAATTTTTTGTCTGCTAATGTATGTGTCGGTTTCTGCAGGTTTACACCTACCATAGCAACTTGGACAGGGAGCTACAGAAGAATGAGAGCTTTCCTACCAAAGCAGCAGCCAATCCAGAAGAAGAACAATAAGCAGGTAAATGCGTAATCTTGAACTTCTCTCCATCGATCTTGCATTCCGAAAACATAAAACGGTTAATACCACGAATGCTTTTATCTCTTTATAGGTCCAACAAGTTAGTAAACTACCACTTGATTGGCTTGAGAATAAGGAAAAAGTTCAGAATCTATGCTCAAGGATACCACATTACAACAAAGTAAGTCTCACCGGGCTTCATCGATATCATCTTTGATCATCTGAAGCTTGAATTCATTCTGTTTTTCCCTTCCTTTAGATCACCAAGCAGCATGAGTTAGACTTCAGAGACAGAGGAAGGACAGGACTGAGAATACAAAGCTCGGTGAAGAACTTTCAGCTGACACTCACGGTGCAGTTCCACAACTTTTTTCGAGCTTTTATCGATAACCAATCTCCGTAATCCTAAACATTTCGTGTATTTTGGCACAAATAGGAGAATTCCAGGCAGACAATTCTCCAATTGGGAAGAGTGGACAAAGCAAAATATGTAACTGATTTCAGGTACTACCTCGAACCCGAATGACATTAAAGATAAACCATACTTGGTTCATCGTCTAATAACCATTTCCCTATCTACTTGCAGGTATCCATTCTCAGGCTACCAAGCATTCTGCATTTGCTTAGCTTCCATTGATTCCAAGCTTTGTTGTACTGTTTAATCAAATATAAGTCGGTCATGTTCAATCTCTGAACATTTCATCCAACGATTATCATCTGTATTCCTTTCTTTTCTACATAATCAATGTTCCAAAGGTCTTACCTTTCTTTTATCTGAATTGACAACTATCTCAAATCATATTCACCAAGAAGAAAACCGAAACTGGAAAAAAAGTGTTACAAGATTCAAACTTTATTATATAAGATTGTCACAAGAAAGAATAATCGATGTGATTCACAACCGAAATTCTGCAGAACTAAAGCAAAACTTATCAAATTCCTTTTTTTTTTTAATTTTTCCAAAACTAAATCCACACTTTTAGCAATCATTCAACTCGCTGTAGAAACCAGGAGTTAAGAAAGAATCTAAATCACCAAAGATGACGTCTTCCTCCGTCGTTAACTTGCCGGAGTCTTGACACCCGAAATACGTTTGGATATCGGCCGGGAAGCTCCGGCGAGGTGGAACAATCTCCGGTGGTGTTGATGGTCCGATTACTTCCTCTGCATTCAAAGGTGAAGACTTTAAAAACTTTGATTTCCGATCATCGTTTTCGTCTGAGGAAGATTGACTTTGCCATAACTCCGACTCGTGGTTTGGGTTTATAAACGGGTTGGGATCAGACTGTGGAATCTCCGGGAGAAGATTCGCGGCGGCGTCATTAGGGTTCTCCGGCGCCGGTAACTTCAGATAACGGCTGATATCGAAGTTAGTAACGGCGTTAAGTCCACGGTACTCGATTGCTGCCACGTCATACGCAATGGCCGCTTCTTCTTGTGTTGCTACACAACATTCAGAAAAAATAAGGGGTGTAAAATGTCACAAATAAAACGTTGAGGAATTTAACACAAATTTCGAAAACTTCATTTTTTTATTTATTAGTTATATTGCCTTGTAACCCCCCAAACTATTAGTATTTGCCTAATCTGTCCGACTCGTCAATAATCACGTTACATATAGGAAAAAATGTACTATTCCCCTTGATATAGGACAATAGGGAAAACGTATAATAAATAACGGAATTAAATTGGCCAGTAAAATTGGATGAGCAAACTTAGAATTTAAACCATACAATATTTTATATATAGATGTCTCCATAACGTAAGAACAAAAACTATAAAATAAATTAATAGCTTGACTAAGTGGTTGGGTTTGGTGATCTATTTCCCAGCTAACACAAGATCTGATTACGTGCATATCGATATATCAACCCCTCTTTAGCGATTTATAAGTGAATAAGTTATGTTATTATGAAGGCAAAATCCTACATACTAGTATAACGTTTTGTGTTACTCACAATTAGCAAATAATCTATGATCACAATGTGTATTTTTTGGGAATTAGTTGGAATGTGTTCGTATTTATTAATAGGTTTTTGGTTCACACGANCCATTGCAGCGAATGCTTGTCAAAAAGCTTTTGTAACTAATCGTGTAGNGGATTTTGGTTTATTANTAGGAATTTTAGGTCTTTATTGGATAACAGGCAGTTTCGAATTTCAGNATTTGTTTGAAATAGTTAATAATTTAATTTTAAATAATAGAGTCAATCTCTTATTCNTTACTTTGTGTGCATTTCTATTATTTGTGGGTCCTATTGCTAAATCCGCACAATTTCCTCTTCATGTATGGTTCATGATATCATTACAATTTTAATTACGTAAATGATAATCTACTTATTAAAAAAAAATGAATAAACTCAAATGCAACTATGTAAAAACATGTAAAACTATGTTTTAGCAAAAAAAAAAAAAACCTATGTAAAAACATGTGTGAAAATGTAGTAATTGTGATAATTAACATGAGTCAAATGACAATCGCGTATTATGATTTATGGAAAGTGTTGTATATTTGTCTTGAAAATCTAGTCAAGTTTTTTGCGTTTCTAAAAATGGGAAAGTGAGTGCATGAAGTATAAATTATAGAAAAAGTTACCATAAGTTCCTAGATATAAATACTTGTTGCCAAACACTCTTCCAATTCGAGCTTCCCATCTCCCATTATGGTGATGCCTGCAAGTCCATAGTAACTAATCAATGTTCGGAATGAGTATTATTGAGATTGTAAAATTGTTCTTATAATCTTTCGGTTTACTTTGCAACGCCTCTGTATTTTGATACACCACGTGAAAACCCACTACTTTTCCTGTAAAGAATGTTAATAAACAAACAAGATAATTAGTTAATCACCAATCATTCAAAAAGCGATAACTTGATTTAATAGTTACCTTCTCAAAGATCCAATGTACTCTTCCTTCGACTGGCTTTCCATTTCTTTGATGTCTTCTTCATATTTACACAACTAAAAATCACATTAAAAAATCCATAAATATAAAAAAACACAAAGTTTGTTTCTAATTAGATGCACACAAATTTAACTCTTGATCTTTTTATGTTTTGATATATAAAAACACGTAGGCAAGAAAGATTGTGAAGCAAACAAAGATCATGTGAAAAAGTAACTCTTTTTCTAATTAATTTAGTGTTTGAATTAAATAGGATTCCGAGAAAAATTACAGGGAAATTCAAGATGGTGTCTCGACCCCAATATTTCAATGCTGCTAAGTCGTAGGCACGTGCTGCTGCATCTTCTTCGTCATATGCCCCTGTGCAAACCATATTAATAAAATCAATTTTTAACGTATTAATTACTTTAAAAATAATATTGTTATTGAAAAACATAAATTACATAAGTAGATTTTAAATGTGAACGTGAAATATAAAAACAAAAAAAAATGTTTGCATTTCACATTTGGTTTTCAATGTAAGCATGCATATCATAAAAGAGACAAATCCAGTTGTATTTTTAGAATTATAGAATCATTTGTTTGTTTTGTCACTCTATAGTCTATAGATGTAACAATTCACTTTATAAAAGAACTGAGAAATGACATTACTTATTCAAATAATTAGTATGGTTATAAAGTGTCTACCAATTGGTCAAAAACAAATTAACAAAAAAGGTGTCTACCAAATCGGGAGAGCAAAAAGAAAACGCCATATGAAAAATGACCAAAAAATACTCACCTAAATATACTGCACGTGATGAGTCAGCCAATATTCCGGTCACCATCGTCAGAAGAAGGAAAAAAAAACATATTATCAACAATAATTAAACAAATCAATTTCAAAATGATAATAAATTTTAATTACAAATCAAGAACAGTGTAACGGCGAACTCATTCCCCGAAAAAATCGGAGTAAACATATCAAAAGATTCAAAACAAATATCTCTATATCATAAACATATTTTCTATATATGTGTGTATGTATAGACTGACCTTGTCTTCCTTTCTTGCTCTGTGTCTCGTTCCAACTATTCTTATCCCACAAATGTGCTTCGTACCTTCCAGTCCATCTATGCCTAATACAAATTTAAATCGAAAATTTTAATAATAACTACGGAATAACAAATGCAAATATGAATTGACTAAAAGAATTGAACCGATAACAAATTAAACAAAAAAAAAAAGATTAAAACGGGATCGTGTAGAGTGTGTTATGTTTTCTTAGAAACCTGGTAACGCCTCGATGCACGGAGCTGCGTTGTGGAGGAGCCTCTCGCGGTTGTGATCGGCGTTTGCGTTTAGCTTTAAGGTCTACCGATGCTGACTCGTCTCCGGTTTCATTCTCGACGGAAATACTCTTCTTGCTCCGCCGTGGTATCTCTTCCATTACCGGAGAAACTTCGACGGCGATGGACATAT